TTTTTTTTTTTTTTGGTTTTTTTTTTTTTGCAGCCCGCCAAAAAAAAAAAAAAAAAAGTAAAAACAATTATATATAAAATAGAATCAATGTCTCAAATCCTGTGTTTCATTTAATGGTTGTTGGCTCTCTGCCTTTAGAGATCAGGTCAGATTCCTCCTTCTTCCCCTGTCTCCTTCCATATCCAAATGAAAACCATGTTATTTGTAACTTACTTCCTAGAAATCTTCTGCATTTGGCTCCTCCCCTCCATCAATCAGAATTACTCCCATCTTACATGTGACCTCATCATCTCTCTTCTGGGTTTTTATAAAGTCCTCCTTATGGGTCCCTCAGCCTTTGTCTCTACCTTCAATCCATTTTAGATACTGCTGCCTGAACATTTTTCAAAACTATAAATTCAATCGGGCCGGCCCGGTGGTGCACTGCTACAGTGTGCCGCTTGGGAGTGTGGCAGCGCTCCCGCCGAGGGTTCGGATCCCACATACAGACCAGTTCCCCCTCACTGGCTGAGCGAGGTGTGGGAGCAACACCGAGGGTTGCGATCCCGTTGCCGGACACGAAAAAAGACAAAAAAAGGAAAAAAATATATATATAAATTCAATCAAATCACTTTTTACCTAACAACTACACCAACAAGGTAAGGCCCTCTCTTTAGTTTGGAATATAAAGACATTTTTGATCTGTCTGTAACCTTCTTAGCTCTGCCAGACGCAGTGAACCAGTGGTTCCATATCCTGCTTAGAATCTGCTTCAGAATCAATTAGCACCTAGTTTTGTACTGTCCCTCTTCCCCCACTGCCCACCACATTTATTGGACTTGGGAATTTGAGGAATTTGAGCAGTTTACTTAATTTCTGTGACTTGATTTCTTCATGTGTAACAGTAGTAGTTTCCTTACAAATTTTTTCTTAAGATTAATTGAAATAATGTGAGTAAAGCATCAATGCCTGGCATGTAGTTGGTATTCAGTAAATGTTAGAATGATGTCCCCAACCTATCATTTCGTCAGCCTTAAGAGATCATTATACTTTTTCCACAGGTTTGCTGTGCCGGATAGATGCCCTGGCACTGGGTAAGTATTACCTCCCTTTCTGTCTCTTTCGTA